CTGCCACATACACAGGAAATGAAACGGAATGGCATTGGAATTTGATTGAAGTGAAGCTTTTATTGAAAGTGATGGAAAGAGAGGAAATTAAACGAAATGACAAAGAAACTCAATCAAAATAATTAAGAAAATGAAACGAAATGGTAATGGAATTTGTTTCAAGTAAAGCTAGCATTAAAGTAAAGCAAACTACAGCTGACAGAAAGCTTTAATGAAGCAGATTTGAAAGCAGAGGCAAGATAAGTGACATGGAAGTGAAACAAAATGATATTGGAACACAATACAAGTTATGCTATTACTGATATGAAAGGCAAAATGAGAAAATTAAACGAAATGAAACATAATTTAAGTAGGGCTAACAATAAAAAAGTGTAAAGTTATTATGAGATGAATGGCAATGAAAGTGAAAGTGTAAAGTTATTATGAGATGAATGGCAATGAAACAGAGTGAAACACTGAAACTAAGTATTACACAAAAGAAACGAAGCAAAGCTAATGAAAACTACAGATGAAGTATATAAATAAAACATTAAAAAAATACTGAATCAATGAAAATAGTAAAACAAAAGAAAAACTTTATATATATGAAACGATTGGGAATTATATGAAATGAGCAAACAAATAATACAAATTTTAGAGGAAAGTTTTATTTCTCTCTTATGCAAAAGGAATGAAGTGGAATGGAACAATCTACTAAACTGACAATAGGAATCCATTAAAATTGTATTAATTGTGTATATAATTGGAAAGGAATGAATGGGAATGGAATGGAATAGACGAAGCGTTATTCTTATTGCTTTCTAATAAAAAAATATAAATTATAGAAATTTTATTTATTATTAACAATTTGAAAAGTTTTCAATATAAAACTCAATTACAGAGCTGCTTGGATAACCAGATACATATATATAGCTAAGCAATTCTTGAGGCTCTTGATATGTATCTACATCTGCAGCAAAAGTATCTTTAGTTGTGTAGCATTACAAAATGGAACGGAAGGGAAGCAATGGAAGGAAGGGAATGAAACACAGACACTGAACATGAAATACTATTTACCACAATTCCTGTATATTGCAGTTATACAGTAACTACTATATAAACTGTATTTAGCTTCAAATAAAAATATCGAAAAACTGTGATATAATTATGAGGGAAAGTTAAGATAAATTGGATATAAAAAATATATAGGTATATCAATTATCTATATAATACGCTTTATATAGTATCAAATAAATACTAAATTGCAACGGCTTAGTTTATCCGTTAGCTGTGCAGCCTAAGAGTTATGCATACAAAACATTTCAAATGTATCTACACTCAAGCCAAAAGTATCTGAAGCTGCATATAATATAGAAGTATGTTTAATATATAGTATATACATATATATGTATGCTGACATTTGATGAACAACATTTTTAGGTACATATAGTTGAGGCATCTATGAAATATATCAAATGTATCTAGAGTCAAAGCAAAAGTATCTGAAAGCTAATATGTTCTGAAAGGCTTAAAGCTAATGCGTAAAATAAATTATTGTTAACATCAAACTGAAGTGTAACGGAATGTGATTGAATTCCCGATTGGCTTTTCGACACTTTAAAGCCATAGACCAATTCAAATGTATCTACGCTCCAACCAAAAGTATCTGAAACTGTGTTGTGTACATAAATTCGATGGAAACAAAGGGAAAATGCGTGGCTTTTTATATTAAAAACGAAAGCAAATAAACATCAAATTAAAATGAAATTGCATATGTTTGACAACGCGACGCGTTCCAAATGTATCTACGCTTAAATGTATCTGCAGGCGATTGTTTGCCGTGTTCTGCAAATATGCAACTCGTGCAGCTTCTCGAAATGTAATATGCAACCGCACAGACAAAACCACAGGCGGTTGCCACACGCACACACATGCACATTAATTATTCGTTTTGCCTGGAGGATTCATTTTCGGTTGGGTCCCCAGGACACACACACACACGCACGCACACACCCACACTTCTATTGCTGCAGTTAGCATTTGAACTTCGGGTAGAGCGGGTCGCTTATAATTACTTTAGCATGCAACATTTGCTGTGGTTTTCGGTTAACTCCATGCCACAGGAGATGCCATGAATTATGTGCAACCGGAAATGGACACGCTGCAGCTTAAGCTGGCCACAAGCAGCCATTGACCGGAGCACAGCAACTACACAGATACCTAGAGAATGCGTGCAGTTTGTGGCAAGTTGCAGATGCCATTGAAACTTCCGCTAGCCAGACATTGGTCACGATTGAATATATATATATATCAAATATATGTAATGCATATAATATATAATGGAATTCAAATTTGGTGTAGCTGTCCTATCTATACACATTGATGGATAGGTGCACGTGTGCATAGATATTTAGTGAACAGTTAATGAACTTATGCTCATCTATCTATCTATTTATCTATCTGCATATATCAATCAATCGCAGAACTCTATTAAATATTGATGAAGGCTACGTATGAAAACTTGAAAACTTTGTTCTTTGTTCATTGTTCTATTCTGACCATATAGAGCGAGAGAGTGGGAAAGAAAAAGAAAGAAAAAAAGAAATTGACAGAACGAGAGAGATAAAGAAAGAGGCAGAGTGGGAGAGAGAGAGAGAAATAGAGTGAGAGAAAGAGAGAGAGATAGAGAGAGATAGCGAGAGAGAGATAGAGAGAGAGAGAGCGAGAGAGAGATAGAGAGAGAGAGCGAAAGAGAGCGAGAGAGAGAGAGAGATATAGAGAGAGGGAGAGAGAGATATATATAGAGAGAGAGATAGAGATAAGAGCGAGAGAGAGAGATATAGCGAGAGAGAGCGAGAGAGAGAGAGAGAGAGATATATATAGAGAGAGAGATAGAGAGAGAGAGAGATAGAGAGAGAGCGCAAGAGAGAGATAGAGAGAGAGATAGAGAGAGATAGAGAGAGATAGAGAGAGAAAGATATATAGAGAGAGAGATAGAGATAAGAGCGAGAGAGAGATATAGCGAGAGAGAGCGAGAGAGAGAGAGAGAGAGATAGAGAGAGATAGAGAGAGAGAGAGATAGAGAGAGAGAGAGAGGGAGAGAGAGATATATATAGAGAGAGAGAGAGATAGAGAGAGAGAGATAGAGAGAGAGAGCGAGAGATATATAGAGAGAGAGAGAAATAGAGAAGGGAGAGTAAGGGAAAAAAGGGAAAGAACGAAAGAGAGAGAAAACAGGTGGGCAGAAAGCGAGAAACATAATTAGATGAAAGTCGGAAGTGAGAAAAAATTAGCAGTGTGAGAGAGGCGCAGGGAGTGAGAGAAAGAAAATCTTTATGAAACCGAGACATGCGAAAGTTTGAAGAGAGAAGTGGAAAAGGGAAGAAAGATATTGAGACAGAGGGAGAATGAGAAATGTGAAAGAGGAACACAGAGAGAGAGATAGAGTGTGTGTCAGAGAGAGAGAGAGATAATGATGATGGAAAGAGAGAGGGCACAATATAGAGAGTCAATCAGGTAATATGGACCAGAATGGAGTGAGAGAAAAGAGGAAGATCGATTGTAAGCAGAGCTATAAAGCATATAAGCTCTAATACCGTTAGTCAGTCGAATGAAATTGAAGGGAACATTTGAATAGAAATTGAAATGGACTTTGTGAAGTAACATTAAAGCAAGCTGCCTATGTGGACAATAGCTTAAGGCTAAAATAACTTAGAAGTCTAAAACGTCTATATACAAATCGAACTAAACTCAAGCGTAAACACCTAACTTGGTTAATGTCAGAATTCAGTCAAGAAGTCTTTGGCTTCGGTTGCTACGTGGCAAGCTGTACTTGTTTTATACAATTGTGCTAGCATCACTGTTGTATGCTGCAGCGTCGTAAGTCAGTGCTTATCTGCATCATTTATCAAACTGAATGTCTGAGGACGATTTATCCAGCCATTGCCACGCATATCAATGTGTAGCGAGCCTTGAAATCAACGCGAAGACGTGCGAGAAATATGTATTCAAGGACATGCGATTTGCCACTTGTCGATGTCAACGTGTGTTTTTTTCTTGCTTTGGCGTCTGCCTTAAGCCTTTGAAATGCAAATTTGAACGTTTTCAAATTCAATAAAATTCAAAAACATTTTTGCTCCGCGCGGCTGTCAAAACGAAGTGCGAGATCAAGTAGGCTTCATATGTCAAGTGGGTGTCTGTCACAGAGATGCAGATACAAAGGTACACACGCACGCACAGCTGCACACAAACGCACACACACACACGCATACAGTTACACGCAGGCTGTCAAAGCAAGGAGAGGATGATACCTTTTGCATATGGCCCCACTTATTCATATTTTATACAAAATGCCCAACGCACAGAGGAGAACAACAACAGCGCAGCTCAAGTAGCGACAGCGGCAGCGGCAGAGACAGAGGCGAATTCGTGATAATTATAAACGCCAAGGCCAATACGTAGCGGGCACGATTGACGACGACGTGCGACGACGTCGCTGTCGACGCTAGCGTCAATGCAGACGCGTTAATCTCTCATTTGACAGTTGAATTCAATTAAAAAAGGCACCCACACACACGCACACACACACACACAAACGCACAGAGTCAGGTACGCAACGCACAGCCACCCCAAAAAGGTAAAGGCGTCGCAACATACACAAAACATACACGAGCAGCGGCACGAAGTGTTCGTGCCGTTGCCGAACAGCCGAACGTCGTAGTTGCAGCCAATCAAGCCTCACAACAGCCGCAGGGTGGGCGGTACAGCAATGGCGCGAAACGGCAACAGAGCGTCTCTTTGTCTCGCTCGCGCTCTAGCTCTCGCTCTCACGGCGAGCTCTCATGCGCAGACGCGACGAACGCATGGCACACAACGCGGTGCCGAATTCGTTGGCAGGTCTAATCAGAATCAGTCTTTGAACAGTTTTCGTGCCGTGCACTTTGCGGACGGAGTAAAGTAAATTTTCTACGCTGTCAGCGCACAAGAGAGACAGTGAAAGGGCGATTAAGTGAGTGAGTGAGAGGGAGAGAGCAAGAGTATTTTAAATCTCAACCGCTGTTCGTGATAATAAAAACGTGTATGAGAAATCGATAAGAGTAGCAGCAGCTGAAGTGAAAGAAGCGCGCATACACACACACAAACACAGAGCGCCCATTCTGCGTGCGTTTGTGTATGTGTCGGCAAGTGCTATAAAGTAAGCAAAAGAAGAAGAGTCCATCATTTGGTTTGAATCGATTTATATGCTTATGTGTAAAATTGATTTCAATCTCATTGCAATTGTTCAAGCCGGCTAATCAAATACGTGAGTTTATTTAGCCACATTGTAAACAATTTGCGTCGCACTTTGGCAAACGCTTGGAAAAACTCGGTGTGTACATTTCTAATAAGAAAAATTTCACTTTGCTTTTGATTGCGCGGCGAGCGCGGCGAAATGTAACGAAAAAAATTTCATGTATGCTACTATACGGTGCTTCGGTGTGTGTGCGTGAAAATTTTGTAAACACACGTACACGTGACAAGTGCGTTTACGTTTGTGTTCGTGCGTGCGTATGTGTGAGTGTTGTTGTCGTATTGGAATTTTCGTCGTTGCCGCCGCCGCCGCCAATTCGAAATAAAAACCGAAACTAAAACTGCGGCGAAGGCGAAAACACGCGCGCGCAAATTGTAGAAAGTTTTGTTTTGGGATTTGATTGTGCCGCTGTTACGCTCTCCCCACAGCCCACAAGGGGCGGCTGTCGTTGCTGCTCTCTCGCCGCGGCGAATAGATACAAATTGGTGTCGTCGTCGTCTTCGCTTCGTGTTTTCTTGTTGTTGTCGTGTGCTCGTTTCGCCTCAATTGCGCGGCGAGTACCGAATGCGAGTACGAACGCAACGTAGCAGCGCTCGCACATAGCATTTGAATTTCGTGCATTGCTTTCAGTTGTATTTTCAGCGGCTGCTGTTGTGGACAATACCGCACGTGCATAACGCAAGTAAATTTCGTTCGATCATATATACAAATTGTTCGCTGTGTCGCCGCGTCTCTCGTCATCGGCAAAGCTTGTTGCGTGCGCGTCGTGTCTCTAATTGTGTATGAGTGTATGTTTGTGTGTATGAGCGTATGTGTGTATGTGTGTGTTTGTGTGTAGCAACCACCCTGTGAATTGTTGTTGTAAAGTGCGCTCGTGCCGGCGCCAGTAGCGGCTGTTGTGGCTGTTGTTGTTATTATTGCTTCGCTTCGTTTCGTTTCGATAGCGATAACAGCGAAGCGGCGAAGTCTGTGCAAGCTGTGGCCATTTCGTCACTGTCAACTGTATCTGTGTGTGTGTGTATGTGTGTATTGTTATGAGCCTTGCTCGTAAACTAATACGTCAGCGACATTGAAGACGTCATCAATGTTGTCAATTGTCCACCCATAAGCCACCCACTAATACCGGCACAGTGGGCCACTTTAGCCTAACACTTTGTATGTGTGTGTTGGGTTGGACGTGGGCGTAGGTGTGGGCGTTGATGAATGGCTCTGCTAGTGTTTGCATTGCGCCCACTTACTCATTATCCTTAGCAACGTTTGCGTTTTCTGCATAAGGCAGTGTCCAGCTTCCGTGCTTCTAGTCTGCTCTCTCTTTCCCGCCCTGTCGACCCCCTTTGGCTGTTGCTAACTCTATCCTTGTGCCCACTTTGACTTAGTTTGCCAGCTTTTGTTTTTGCTGCCTTCCTTTTTGCTCGCTTTTTGTTTTGCTTGTTATTGTTGTTGTTGTTTTTGCTTTTAGCTAGCATCGCATCGCATCGCATCGCAGCACAGCTTCTCTCTGCTTCTTGCTGTTGTTGTCATTGCTGCCGCCTATTTCGTCTTGCCTTTTACAAGCTGCTTTCGTGCCAGTTTCGCGTGAGCGTGTGACGTACAAAAGCAGAAACATGTCAAAGGCAAACGGGGCAAAAACAAAATGAGAAAAAGAGAAAAAAGTGGGCAGCGCATTTGCGGGCCAAGGCGACTTTTATTTGCCCTACAGTTAGACTTAAACACTAAGCATAGCAGCTGGGCAAGTCCTCAGTTAACTCAAGATTTATTTTAATATCAAATTTTAAATTGTTGTATATTCAAAAACTATTCAATATGAATTTGATACGGAACAAAGCTCAAGTTAAGCAGGACCTGCCTTTATTTTAGCTAAAATGATTACAAAATTTAGATTGATAGAAAGTTAGAAGTAATATTAGAGAATATTTTATGGAGTCACATATTATTTTGCAGCTTACGAAAGAATACTTTGATTGAATATATATTATATTAAAGTAAGTAAATATATTTGGAGAAACTTTATAGATCTTTATATATTTAGACCTTTTAAAGCATAAAATAAATAAAAGTTATTACTGCTTATAAAATAGTATGAGCATTTGGTACTTCAGCACTTTTTCAAAACTAAGATATATTATTTTTATAGATTTTATAATCAAAAATTGGTCTAAAAAGCATAAAACCACAAGAATTTTACTTCAAAAGACGATGAAAATTTAAAATGATAGAAATAAAAGATGGATAAGGTGTTAAATTTTGGGGATGAATAGACAGACTAGAATAGTTATGCGTATAGACAGCCAGATAGACGACAAATACATATAATATATATCTCTAAGAAGATGGTTAAACGGATTGATTGATAAATAGAAACATAGCTAACTATGTATATCTTACTAGATATACCTATATATTAAGCTGTCTAACCATCTACTTATTTATCTATGTCTATGGAGTATATAGATTGAGAGCTGTATAGTATGGGCATTCTAAATTGTATAATATTCAAAGTTTCCCACACATAGAAGTATTCCATAATTAATTAACATTTCATCCAGTTTACTCAAGTAAATCATTAAATATTTTTTGTTGCTTTTTAAATAAGTTTTAAAGATTTGCAACAAGTACACACATACTTCCCGAACTATGCCTTGCAATGAAATATATTTGATACATTTAATATTATATTTCACACACGTCTGACTGGCTTAGTCTCTTAACTATGCTAATTTGACACCAAAAGCAACTTAATTGCAGACAAAACAATTAGGACTAGTTCCTAAAAGCTCTAACAGCACACATTCCATATATACGTATACATATGTGTATGTATGTGTGTGCATATGTATTTCCACACATTAACATGACATTTGCTGTTGCTGCTGTTTTTGTTGTTTCATTCAAATCTCATCAACTTGATGTGGCATACATATTCTTCCTCTTGCTCTATGCCTATGTTGTTGCCGCTGCTGCTGCTGGCTCTGTTGCTGCTGCTTCTTAAGCAAGCCAACCTGCTGATCCAACTCGCTGCCCACATCGTAATAATTATCATCATCATCATCATTATTATTATGATTATCAACTCTAACTGTGTGTGTGTGTGTGTGTGTGTAGGGCATACAAGAGCGTAATTTTCGTACTTTATTCGTTTGCACAACGAAAGACGAAGACGTCAGACGAAGACAAAGACGAAGACGAAGACGTCAGACGAACCCAACAGACGAAGGCAGCGAAGACGCCGACGAAGACGAAGGCGAAAAACCTAAAACTAGATTCAAGTACAACACATCGTCGAGTGCGCTGTACGTGTGTGTGTGTGTGTGTATGCGAGAGGTTGTGTGTCGGCTGCCCTCTGTGTGAGGCACAAAGGGCGTCGCTTGTAAGCCCAGTAGCGTCCCACAGCCCACACCGCCTTTGCCTTAATGCGCTTTGCATATGAGTTAGTTTTTTGTTCTTTTTATATACATAACTGTGTGTGTGCGTGTGTGTGTGTATATATGCGTGTAGATAGTTGTTTTTTTTTTCTTTGGCATTGTTCCGATTCATGGATGGCTGATTTACTAGTTGAAAGTGCTGCGTCTGACGTTGCCAGATCTTTTTGTGGCAGCCACTGTTGCAGTTGCAGTTGCAGCTACATAGATATAACTATATGGATACATAGTTATGTGTCTGTTTCTGTGTGTGTGTATGTTGGGCTTTTGTTTGACAAACGAGACGAGACGAGATGAGACGAGTCGCGTCGAGACCTAGAGCGACCCAACCACATTCATGTCGCTGGGTGTTGATGATGGTTGTTGCTGCGATTTTTGCTTTATGTTGTTTCTCACAGTTGTTTTTTTTTTACCTTTGTTTAGCTGTGTGTGGCGTCTCAAAGCTTCAGTTCGATCTTGTCTTGCAGCTCTTTAGTTTTTGCTGGCCAAGATCTAACAGCCATCATTAGGATGCCCAAGCATTGCATAGCATCGCATCAAGGCTTCAAACTCTACTTGAGCTATAGTCTAAGCTCATTTCTCTCCTATATTATATGAGCTAACAGTCCTATAAAGCTTGAACCTATCTTTGCCTAACTTTGCTTGTCAATCACCTAGAGTTTCAGGCTCAAACTCTACTCAAGCAATGGCTTGAGGTCAACTCTGTAGAGTCTCTAAGGTTCAAACTCTACTTAAATTGTAGTCTAAGTCTAGTCTCTCTGCTAAATCTTTTTCTAAACTTAATTTCCAACTCATTTCTTGCTCTGCTTCTTCTTCTTCTTCGCAGGACATGTTAGCATCTAAAACATTCTGAACCATTCAAAGAGGCTATTAATAAACACACACCCACACACACGCACAACAAATATGAAATTGAAAATGGAGCTACACAAACGGGAATCAAGTGAACGCACTGGTTCCGCACCACAGCTGAGTCAGTTCAATGAGCTGCTCACGTGCCACATATGCCGAGGCTATATGATAGATCCGACCACAGTGGACACTTGCTATCACACATGTAAGTCGATTGGAAGCTTCTACTAAATATATATATATATATATCTATCCATCTATATGCCATGCCTATCTCAATTGTCGTCTCTTCAGATTGTCGCAGCTGCATTCTGATACATTTGCTGCGCGATGCTTACTGCCCACAGTGCAAGTCGAGCGGGGGCAAACATATCAGAGAGGATAACCTCAGGTAGGTGTTGCAACAGCTCTCACACTACTCCCTCTCGCTGCCTTTGTCTCTGCCCCTGGCTTAGCTTTAACAACTGTCCCGCCTCGTTCTTTCCTCCAGATCCGATGACACTTTGCGTGCGCTGATTTATAAACTGGTGCCGGGTCTCTATCAGCGCGAAGGCGAACGTCAAATGGAGTTTAAGAAACAGCACAAGGAACTGGATGCCGAGGAGGATTTGTTGCTCAAATCACAACGACAACAACAACAGGAGTTCTATACGCCTGGAGAGCCTATTAGGTAGGTCAAATCCCAACTAGTTTTCTCTATACAAGTTTTCTAGACTATTTTCATTTATTGCTTTCAAATTTGGGCTAAGTTTTAAGTATTCTTTTCTAGATATTTAATCTAATCTAAACTATCTCTCAGAAACCTATTCACGCTTTAGATTTCTTTGTTTCATTTAATTTTTAAGCTTTATTAAATATCAAAGTCAAACATTTGCTTATCAAGAAATGAGTGAAATGATCTATAAACTATAACTTCCAAGTATTTTTTTTTAAATAGGGAAAATGAAGTACGAAAGAATGAGAAGAAATCTTAGCAGAAAAGAATTATTTAAGCAAGAGTTTCTCTCTGATGGAAAAGAGTTACTTAGGAACTCTGCTTCTTTCTTTGACTTTTCAATCTTCAGTGATCAATCTTTAAACACTAGTTATATATAGTCGAATCGTAAGATATGTAATTTCTTTTTGTAAATTTTTAGTTTAGTTTGATTTAAAAAATTGAAAACTAAAAGATTTGGAATTTTTGTTAGTAAAAAATATATTTTCAAGTATTATATGTGAAGTTGCTAGAAAACTTCATTATAGAGAGCTATAATCCATATATCAGTCTGTCTATTCAGCTCAGCGAAGTTTCCTGGTTTTCCATTCTATTCTCTTAGCTCAAAAATCCATTAACTTTTTTCATTTATTTCTACTTTCTTCAACTCTTCATAGATGTTTAGCTTCTTAAATGAAAGTTCCTCTTCAATTTCCTTATAGAGAGCTAAGAATTTGGTTTGTAGCATTAAGTTTCCTTCTAAGTTTCGCGCTTCAAGAGAGAAGCTTGACTAACTAATTCTTTTCGACTTACAAGCATTTGTTTTCGATATCTCATATCTGCTATTCAAATATGATTTTGTTTCTATCGTAAATAGCATAAATATGTAAACATTCCTGTTAAGAAGTTCAGGTTTTTTCTTACTTTTTCTGATATGGAAGAAAGAAGCTTAAGAAAAAAACTAATTAAGTTTCTTTCTTACACAGTTCAGCTATGCTAAAAATATTGCTCTCTTAAGTTTTCCTAAATGTTCTAAAACATTTCTACCCAAGTCTTTACTCTATAAGTTCGTAACATCAACTTCAACTTCTTCTTTTGTTTTTCTCTGGTAAATACAGTTTATCGCTGGAATATCATCCAGCAACACTCAAGAATTGCGGCTCATCCGAAAAGCCGCCCATCTGCTATCTGCAATGCCCCGCAAACTTGAAGGTGGGGCATCTGCAGCGCTTCCTCTGCTCCAAGTACGACATCGATCCGGAGAATAAGCACGTTGAGGTCGAGGTCACGTATGAGGATGAGGTCTTGCCGCTACTCTTTACGCTCATGGACGTCGGCTATTGTTACCACTGGCAGCGGGTGAGTTCTCAAGCCTTGTTTCCCTTTTTTTCTGCTTTTTTTTCTTCTAAATGGGAGTTATCAAGGGAAGGGATGGCATGCATTGGACAGGGTAGGATTTGTTTTGCCTGTGTTTGGCACTTAAAATTAGCCGCTGGCAAATCCAATTGTGCCGCTAGTTTAGTGTGTTTAGTGTTCATGCCATAAATCCGTATCGGGGTTCAGTGCAGCATCCAGAGGGCAGATCATATAGTTGACTAACTTCGTTTCTACCTATGTGAACTCAGCGCTTAGAGCAGCTAGCTACAAGATACTTGGCACAGCGCTGTCTTTGGGCTTTACTAAGATTATATTTTAGTATGAATAAAATCGGACTGTTTTAGGGCAGATCATATAGTTGACTAACTCCGTTTGTACCTATGTGAACTCAGCTCTTAGAGCAGCTAGCTGCAAGAAACTTGGCACAGCGCCGTCTTTGGGCTTTACTAAGATTATATTTTAGTATGAATATTATCGGACTGTTTTAACATATAGCTCCCATAGAAATGATCCTGCGAAATTGTGTTTTTTCTCAAACATCTTTCAAATATCTTCTAGAATTTCATCAATTATATGTTTTTTGAAAGTATTTTTAAAGTAAGACCTAAGCACTATACATTGTGCAGCTTATATAGTAGCTTAGCTCTGTCTATACCTAGCTGAACTCAGCTTCTAGTAGAGCTAACTTCTTGAAACTTGGTACAGCTTAGTCTTTTGACTTTACTTAGCATATGTTTTTTTAGCAACTGAATCGGTGCACTATAACTTATTGTTGACATAGATATAATTTAGACAAAATGGAATTTTTGTATAAAAATTATATTTTTTCTTAAGATATCTTAGCTAAACTATTCATGCTTTTCATAGATCGCTCTATATAGCTATATATAGCTACCATAGAGGTAAACATTTTATAAATATAATTTCTCTAAGAAACTTCAGTTATTTTGAGAACTCTAACTTAGACCATATCAAGTTGACACTGGGGTCACGACAAATCAGAACTAAGACTAGAATCTAGCGCCCTGCGAACGCATTGCAACTTGAAGATTTGCTTGTTTCTATTTTGCATTTTCCATTTGGTTTTTCCTGCCCCGCAACAGCATGCGCCCATGGCGTTTCGCTATAGAATTCTGCTGCACGAGCGCGCAGAAACAAAAAACGATGAGAGCAATTTGTCAAAGGTTAAACAGGATGCTGAAGCCAATGTCGCTGTGGCCACGAAGCCAAGCAAATCGGTGACCTTTGCCGATGAAGTGCCGCTGCATGCGACAAGTAAAACGCGCAGCAAAGCCAACAACAATAATAATAACAACAAGTTGGCCAAGACCAAACGTCAGCCAGCCGGAGGCAAAAGAGAGCTTGAAGAAGCAGCAGCAGCAGCAGCGGCGGCGCCCACAAATTTTAAGAGCTTGCGCAGCAATGATATGCGCTACAGCGACTATGCTGTAGCTAACAGCAGCAGCAACAGCAGCAGCAGCAGCAGCAGCAACAACAACTGCAACAGCAACAGCAACTGCTCCACAGCTGCGCCGCTGCTGCGTGTCAAGAGCGAGCCAGAACCAGAGCCGGAGCAGGCAACTAGCAACAACCACAACAACAGCAGCAACAGCAACAACAGCAGCAGCAACAGCAACAACAACAGCAATCTCTCCAATCTCAATATTGTTGTCAGCATACCACAATCGCAGCTCAGCAAGTCGACGGCGAGCTATGCCGACGAAGGCGCCTTTGAGCTGAAGACAGCGAACAAGAAGTCGCCGCCGTCGCAGGCGCTCAAACTGAAGATCGAGCTGAACAGCATGACGACGAAGCTGACATTGCCGCGCTCGGCTGAGGCGCGGCTGGAGAGCGCCTCGGCGGTGCAGCAGCAGGTGGATCTGGAGACATATGTCAAGAACATTGGCCTCAAGCCCATTGAGCCGGCGCAGCAGGAGGCGCTCAAATACAGTCCGAACGCCTCGCCCATGTCCTCGAGCAGCTGCTCCACCAACGGCTCCAATGGCAGCGCCAATATTGGCAACAGCAACAACACCAGCAGCTCCTCCTCGTCGCATCGCAAGCGCAAAAAGAAGCACTCGAAGGAGCCAAAGGATGCGAATGGCAAGCGCAAGAAACTGCATGCGGAGATCAGTTCGCAAACCGATGGCAAAATGAAGATGAAAATCACAACAACGCACAACCACAAGGCGCACAAAGTGGATCTAAAGCGCTCCCATTCGCTGGCAGGCGGCGAGCTGGTCTCGCTCAAGCAGCTACAGCTGGAGGAGCCACCCAAGGCGGCGGCGGCGGCAGCAGCTGCCGTCGTCACAGCAGCAACTGCAATCACCGCAGCCAAAGAGGATGCACTGAATCGCACGCTGGGGGAAGAGTCACGCAGCATCAATAGCCTCATGACAGCCAGCTCCAATTGCAGCGCAGCTGCAGCAACAGTTGCTGCCGAGCCGGTGCTCAAACTGCCTGCCTCGCCGCCGCTGCCGCCCAGCCTGTTCAAGGGCTTCAGTGCCACAGCGGCAACTGCAACTGCAACTGCAACAACAACAGCTGCAGCAGCAGCAGCAGCAACTGTTGCCAAGCCAGCCAAGTTGGCCAAGCCGCCGCTGCTCAGCAATCACAATAGCAATCGCAAGCCGAGCGCTGTGCAGGCGCCACATTTTCTAGTGCCACAGCCGCCGCTGCGCCAGACCTTGCCGCCGTACATGCAACGCTGCCACTCAACGGCGCCCAGCTCCATAGCCAGCGCGGCCAACAAGCTGCCCAAGCGCGCGCTCTCGCTCGACGAGAGCCAGCAGCAGGCGCAGTTGCTGGCCAAGCAGCCGCGCCGGGACTACCAGCAACAGCAGCAGCAGCAGCAGCAGCAACTGCATCGAGTCGGCTCTGTTGCCGCCAGATCGAAGAGCAACGTCTATGCGCCGCCTATGCTCATGCCGCAGCTGTGCCCCACTGGCCTCACCATCACGCAGCATCCGCGCAACGTGCCAGGCTATGCCTATGCCGCGGACAGCGGGCTGGAGATAGTGCGCCTGGGTCCCAATCCGGGGCTAACAGCAACTGTTGCCGGTGCACGGCTGATGGGACCGCCGGCCAGCTTGCCGCGGCAGCCGGCCAAGCGTGCCACAAACGCGGCGCAGTCATCGCCGCCGCTGTCGATGCCGGCCATGGTCAAGTCGCCGCCATTGTCTGTGGCCCTCAGCGCACAGCGAGCGGGCAACAGCAGCAGCAACATCAACAACATCAACAACATCGGCAACATCGGCAACAATGTTGCTTATCGCACATCGCCGCCCGCCTTGATCAATCTGCGCAACGCGACGACGCATGCAGCCTTTGCAGCAAAATCAAATGCTGCAGCAGCCGCTAAGAAGGCCGCAACTGTGGCAGCAGCGAGCAGCCAGAGCAAAGCCAATGGCTTGGCGCTGCTCGACAAGTCGAAAACGAGTTTGCGCGAATTTCGGCCGCCGCCAGCAACAACAGTTGCAACTGGCACGACAGCAACTGCAGCGACAACAGCAACAGTCAAGGATGCTGACATACTTGATTTATCAGCAGGACGCAGCAGCAGCAGCAGCAGCAGCAGCAGCAACAAACAAACAAAGCTGGCGCCCACAACAACAGCAGCAACAACAACAACAACATCATTGAGCAGCAGCAACAACAGCGGCAGCAGCAACAGCCTGGAGGCAGCCTTAAACAAAATCAAGCAAAACATTTCCGCCAACAGCAACAGCAGCAGCAGCAGCAACAACAACAATAGCAGCAGCAGCAGCAGCAGTTGCAGCAGCAACAGCAATGCTGCCGCCGTTGCTGCTGCTGTGGCTGCGGCGGCGGCGGCGGCGGCTGCCGCGGGCAACGGCGATGATCTACAAAATCTGCATATGCTCTCCGAGTCGGCAACGGCGCGTGAGAAAATCTCGATTAAGTGCGGCAATATCTATGAGAATAAGCCAAAGAATGCGCTGGTTCGGCCACAGAATGCATCCGTGCGCAGCATACCAAATCCCTCAGCGTTGGCCTTTCGCAATCAGGCAACGCCAACGACAGCCACAGCCACAGCAACAGCAACAGCAACAGTTGCTGCCGCTGCCACAGCAACTGCGCTAGCCAAGCCGCTGACTGTCAAAGCCGAAGAGACGATCAAATTGACAGCAGCAGCAACTTTGCTGAGTCCCAGCAGCAGCAGCAGCAGCAGCAGCAGCAGCGGCAACAACAGCAGCGTGGGCGCTGCTGCTGCCACCTCGCCGCGCGCTTTGAAAAAAGCAACAACAATTGATCAAGTTGCAGCCAATTTGAACATACGCGCCGAGGCCAAAGCAGCCGCCCTGGCCGAGGAGGCGCCACTTGGCAGCAGCAGCAACAGCGGCGCAGCACCAGCAACTGCAGCAGCAGCAACTGTGGCAGAAAAGGCAGCCAGCAGCGTGGCCAAAACAGAAGCCAAGACGCCAGCAACAACAGCAGCAGCAACAGCAACGGCAACGGCAACAGCAACCACTACGATTGCTGCTGCAACAACAACATCAGCAGCAACTGTTGCTGCTGCCACATTATCGAGTCTGCCCGCACTTTCGCTGCCCGCGCTGTCACTGCCAACTGCTGCTGCTGCCGCTGCTGCTGCTGCTGACAGCGAGTCCATGTCAAAGCCGCCCGTACAAATCGCCGCCACCGACACTTTGGCATCGGTGGCAAGTTCCGCTTAGTCACAAGGTAAGTGCCACACCAATAAAAATCTAAATCAATTGCATAAAACACACGCATGAAAGACTGAGCGAAAGATCAATCTATTATTCATATAAATATCTATTCATATTCATATGCACTCATATTCCATATTCATATATATTCACATTCATTTATATTCATAGTTATATGTATTTATACGCATGTTCATATATATTCATATTCGTATTCATATATACTCATATTCTTATGCATTTAGATTCATATATATTCATATTCATACTTATTCATATTCATATTCATAATTATATGTATTCATATTTATATATATATGCATATTCATATTCATATGTATTCATATATATTCATATTTATATTCATAATTATATGTATTCATATTTATATATATATTCATATTCGTATTCATATATACTCATATTCTTATGCATTTAGATTCATATATATTCATATTCATACTTATTCATATTCATATTCATAATTATATGTATTCATATTTATATATATATGCATATTCATATATATTCATATGTATTATTTAGATTAATATATATTCATATTCATACATATTCATATCCATAATTATATGTATTTATATTTATATATATATGCATATTCATGTTCATATGTATTCATATTCGTATTCATGAATATTCATATTCATATGTATTCGTATATATTCATTTTCATAATCATATTCATATTCATATTCCTATTCATATTCATAAGTATATTCATATTCGCATGCTTTTATATTTATATATATTCATATTCATATTTATATATATTCATCTTAATATTTATTTATATTCATTTCATAGACATATCTATATTCGTATGCATTTACATTCATATATATATATATTCATATTCATATTCATATTCATATTCATATTCATATCTATCTATCTACTCATTTTCTCATAGCAATATATTCATTTGCATTCACTTTATGCTACAATGCATTCATTTTTATTTATAGCTTGCCTTTAACTTGAATATATGTATCTATATATATTTTATATATATGCTTCTACTCGTAGCATAATCTTAAGGTAGCGCAGCTTATCTAAAATCTAATCTAATGCAATTTTAAGTTCTTATTCGTTTCGTTTAATAAACTTAGAGACTAACGGAACTTAGTTAAGACATAGACTACAGACTGTTAGATCAACTTTATAGATACTCTTTCATAGACTATGATTTATATGGTGATATATATATGCTATTCTCTAATCTATAGACAGCCATATCTGGTCTTCTCTAGAATTTTCTACAATCTAGAGATCTACTCTTTCTACTTTTCTTTCACTCTGATTATTTACATTACTCTATAAACTGATAGATCTATTTTTCCATAGTTTATAGCATAGACTTCTCTTTATCTATTTCAACTTTAACATATCTAAACTTATCTGAACATATAACTATTAACATCTTTTATTGTTAGACTTCTAGTTATCCTTGCATATATTTCAACATATTTGATGGACTTTAGTGTATAGATAAACACATTTTTTTGTACACATATATTTACAACCTTAACATTCCTCATTATCAAATATGCTTTGGCACAATTTCAACTCTTTTTTTTTTCAATTCTTGAACCTAGCTTAAGTATCTTTTAGATAACTTAGTTTTAATGGGCTGGCTTCAGTTGTAGTTGTTGCTTTTTTCTGTTTTCTATTGTTGTTTGCTGTTGCTTAACTTCACAGTGCTTTGTATTCTCTATATGTATTTTCTTTTTGGCGCGTTTCCCACACTCAACCAAAAAAAAGAGATAAAAAATACAAGCAGAAGAGACTCAAATTATACAAATTACATTTCGTGTTTGCGCGTTTTCTGCTGCTTGTTTTTGTTGCTTGGTTTTTTCTTTCTTTTCTTTTTGCGTTTGCCGTTGCCGTTGCCGCTGTCTTTGCTTTCCTCTTTCGTTTTTCGTTTTTCTCAAGTAGTCATTATACACAAAAAAACAATTTTTTTAGCGGGCAACGCTCGTCAACGTGTGTCTTTCACGTTAGCCACAGCTCTAGCTAGCTAGCTCTGCCTATCTTCCTCTTTTCTCCACTGACACGCTCTTCCTGCATGACCCCTCTCTCACTCACTCTCTATCTTTTAGCAAGCGTTTTGCTTGTGAACATGCGTCTTCAACATTAGCCTGAGCACTAGTTCTAGCTAGCTTTATCTGCCTACCTCCCCTCTGCTATACTCAGCAATCTCTTCCTGCCTGTGTCTCTCTACCCCTCGTCAAATCACTCTCTTTCCTTTAGCGAGCATAGATTGTTGCTCCCTTCCCTTTGCTCTGCTCTCAACTCTCTTCCTGCCTGTTTCCCTCTTCCACTCATTCTTTTATTTTAAGCAAGCGTTTTGCTTATGAATGCGCGTCTTCCACGTTAGCCTGGGCTTTGGCTTGCTTTATCTCCCTCCCTCTCTCAAACTTGCCCTGCCCTCGGCACTCTCTTCCTGCTGTGCAGGCCACTGTTAGCTTTGTCTCCCTTCCTCCCCCTGCTCTCTCTTCCTGTCTTCACACTCACTCTCTATGGTTCTGTGGTTGGTCATTCGTTAGTTCGCCGTATCGCTCATTTCTTATGCTGCTTTTATTTATACCGTTATCACACAATAACAACAACAACGCTATATATGTAGTTTCTTTCATTGCTATTTTTTTCTTTTTGCCTGCCTTTTTAATAAACAGCACCTAGCATACATCGACTCATTCGCTCAGTCTCGCTTTTGCTCTCGCTCTCTCATTCACACACACGCATACACACACTTACACTTGCTTGCCTCGTACATTACATCATTTTTTTGGTATTTTCAAGCATGAATAACAATTTACATTCTTCTCGTACTTGTAAAATTGAAATGCAGCGTTTCTTTGGATGTGCGGCACGCAAATGTATTTGGTGGCGCCACTCGAGAGTCTGCAAGGCAATCAGAACTCGAACGCAAATTAATGGAGCTACAACAATAACAACAACAACAACAACAACAACAAAACGTGCCGCTGCAATTAGCACACTGAGAAGCGCAAAGAGAGGCAGCAACTGGAAATGACTTGGCTAGACTGCAGCGCGTAAGCCTTACAGACATTAAACATGAATACAATTCTATATTCATATACCAAATAACAAGCTATAAGATACAAGATACACACACGAACACACACATACACACAGATACAGCGCATTCGCAGACATATGCAAATATTTGTGCAAATATTTGCGATTGGAATTAGTACGAGTCGAAATAAATTATAAGCGTAATGGAAATATATGACGTATATATATATGTGCATATATAAATATAAATCGTATTTGTTGCTAACTACAACAACAACAACAACAGCAGCAGCAGCAAAAAAGCTGACACAAAAATGCGAAATATAAATAAATAAGCCACAGCGAGAGCTGCTTTTGTTGCTGCTGTTTGGCATAGCAAAATAAAAAAAAAAAACAAAATGCGAACGAAAATTAATTATAAAATATCAGCGAAAAAAAACACTGAAACAGAAACAGAAACGCGCAGACCACATTGAATACGCTTACGATGTCAATTGAAATCGTTGGACTGAACACAAGAAACAACAGAAACAACAACAACAATTCGCAGCAAACTAAATCGGGAACAACTCGTTGCTTTAGATTAGATACCTTTAAATTAAATAACAAAACGAATAAAATTTATTCAAAAAGTAACAAAAAACAAGTGTTAAAAGATAGCGAAAAGAACTCGCTGCACTCAGAACCAACTGCTTTAATCTATAGAGAAACGTATTAGCAACTCAATTAAAAGTGTTTATATTGGCGAGAAGAAGTAAGAAAACAATTATAGTTAAGAAAAACACACAAACAACTCGTTATCGATATTGAATTCCTGATGGCAATAGCGAATCATTGCATTTTAAAATGATTCGAGTTACGTTGGGCAAACGAGCAACTCGCTATCAAGTGCTTCTTAGGACTAACTCGAGCAAATGCCTTAAGTTTGATGGGAACGTTGTTAGTGATTCAATTTTAAAATGGCAGTACACAAACAACTCGTTGTGAATGCTTTAAGAATGAAGCGAATTCGATGGATTGAGCTAACTAGCAACTCGTTGCGGGAGAAGCCAAAGCCAAAGCTTCTCTTTGAAACGATTTCGAATCGTTGCAGCGAATTCGTGGCCTGCAATAGCGAGGGCCTCATTTTGCAGCGAATTCGATGGATTTAGCTAACAAGCAGACTTCCAGCTGCATAGCTTCAAAATGAAGCAGTCACTGATGTAATATGCTTCATTTTGAAGCGATTTCGAATCGTTAAAGTAACTCGCTAGAGTAACGACTTAGGATAACGCGTGAGAGTAACTTCTTAGGGTAACTCGTCGGAGATAGTCGCTAGAACAACTCGATAAAATAACTTGTTAGACTAACGCATTGAAGAATAACGTGCTAGAGTAGCTCTTTGCAGATATTTGATAGAATAACGCGTTAGAGTAACTCGTTGAAGTAATTAGTTAGAGTAACTCTCTAGAGTAACTCGTCGGAGATAGTTGGTAGAATAACTCGTTAGAGTAACTCGCTATGGTAACTCGTTCGGGTAACTCGTCATGTGGACTCGTTAGCTCTTAGAAGAAATGTACAAGAAATCAATTCGTTTATCTAGTTTAAACTCGTAGAAGGAACCAATAGATACATAGTTAACAGAAATCAAATCCCACTCATAATTAGCGCGTAAAGTGCTTCAGTTGAAGGAGAATTGAATAGACCAAACAGCAAAACTACATTAAATAGACTTCAATGTGCCTATAGGGTATCCAGATGGCCTATGCGAACGGACTCATGGCCCTAGAGCTGATAAAAATCACAAAATGCGAACAAGCGAAAGGCGTATTTCGTAGCTTTGAATCAAAGCCAAACGCATCTCGAAATCATATAAATTATTGATATAAATTTGATGTGAAAACGTGAAGCGAACTTAATCGGAAGTATTTTTTTTTCTCTGTATCTAATTTTTTTTTTTGGTTGTTTTTTTGTTGTCTGCGGCGAAGTGTGAAGCAGGTTGTTGACGGCCGCGGCGCATTTTTGGACTTTTAGATCTTTGTTTTTGTTGGTGGTGATGGTGGTGGTGGTGGTGTTGTGTGAACAGTAGCCAACCCACACACACACACACTCGCACACAGACAGCATACAGTTAGAGAGCCACGCACGTTCGTTGAGGCGATAAAATTTTAACGATTTTGCTGAGCTGAGCGTGTCAAGCATAAAGATACGAAAATACAACAACTATATATACCTAAAATATACCTATACAAACCTATATATACATATATATATATATTCAAATAACGTGTAGATACTTTATCGTATTTAGTGTTACGTTTAATTGCTGCACGAACTTTGTACATAAATTTAAATATCGAAGCAACAGCAACAAAAGGAAACAAAATAACAAAAACCCAAAATCGAACATTTATTTTTAAAGCTTCGACCAAAAAAAAAAAAAAACAAAAACGAAACAAAACAACATATAACAATATAACCTATATACAAATATATATAAAAATCAAGTGACTCGAAAAGTCGCTTAGCGTGCTTATCGATAAGTGCAATAACAAACACTTATCGATAAATGTTACCAAACTAAATAGCGTTCAGCAACTAAACTTATTGAAAGCTACAAGTGCTTAAACAAGCGTTTATCGTTTATCGTTTATCGTTTATTATTATGTGACCAACAACTTTTCGATCAAGTCTAAGCGCTTGAACAAACGTTAATCGATAAATATTAATCGCTTGAACACTTATCGATAAATGCCTAAGCGCTCAATTAAGCACTAATCGATTAATTTGTAATCATTTATCGATAAATACTTAAGCGCTTGAGTAAACACTTATCGATAACAGTGCACAGGCTCACATTGATAAATGTGAAAGCACACTTATCGATCAGTTTAACACTTATCGATAAACGCATAAGCTTTAATGCATATAACAATAATTTAGCTACTTTTAGTATGTGTATCGTATATCGTGTATCGTATATCGGCGTCTATAGCAATAACCTATATCCTGCTTAAAACTCTCTCAAATATTTTCTCTCGGTTTTTATCTGTTATTTCTATGTACATAACTTAAAAACAAAACAAAATGAATTGTATAAAATATATCGTCATGCTAGCACTGCTATCGTTATCCTTATCGAGCTATAGATATTATAAAGTAGTCGAAAAAACCAACAACAACCCCCACAATGTGTTGCAACCACCTTTTTGGGTAGAATTTGTTGAAATTTACATAAATCAAACCCCTTTGAGAGTAAAGAAAACCTCCCCAAACTGTTCGATATCGATAACTTTCAGCATAGCCATGACAACTAAGCGAAATTGTTGTAAAAATTCCTATGAAAACCAGAACAAAGAGAGAATTGTGTATTTATTTAATTTGTAATCAACTAACTTCGTGCAAAAGCAACTATAAATTTATAATAATTTATAAGCTAAAAACTATATTAAATTATATAAATGTTTGTTCCACTGAAATGTTTTAACTTTCATGCTGAAAATTAACTAAATTTACACAAAGAGAAAAAGCAAAACAAAAAAAAAAGAAATTTATATTAAACATAATACAATTATATATATATATATATATAAATTATATTTAGAAATCTGAATGTGTGCACATAAAAAACATAAATTATAGAACATTAGATGCATATATATATATATTATATTATATTATTGTTAGACAACTTCATACACAATGTAATCCACACACAAAATTCTAAGTTAAACAAATAAATTAGCTGATTTTCAAAATAAACTGAATGAATATTATTAATAATAATAATAATAAAAAACAAATACATTCACACATAGACAAATGCGTTTTTCTCCGCTTTCTATGGGCCTTTATAAATCAGAGCAAAGGAAGCGGGAGCTGGAGCAGGAGACGGGGCAGGAGAAGGTACAGGAGCAGGCGATGACAGAAGGTGTCGTTTATGCACGGGGATACATATATACATATATATAGATACTTCTGCGATATGTGCGTCTAAGAGTATCGGGTTACATTTACACTCGTCGTTACAGTTAGACGACGTTTTAGAGATGAGCGCGTGATGTGCTTTCATACAGAAATTGTTATTTCAAGTGTTTAAGTATAGTGTTTGATTGTTGATATATTATTGATAGGTATATATAGGTATGTATACGTTTTTATAAGTTCTTATATATTATATTCATTTGTTTATACACTAAATGTGACTACTATAAGTTAAATAGTTGAAATATTATATATTAAAAATATTCCTAAAATATAATATATTATTCAATATATATATATAATAATTCAGATTCAGATTTCAGTACGTAAACAACATTTGTAATTTTTAATACTGCATATTTTATTTTATTAGAATTTTAATACATTTGAGTTTTTACATTTTATTTACAATTTATTTAACTAAAAATTTGTCCTTATCTAAAAGCGAGCTTAAGATCTAAGCTAGCTCATGAGCAAAGTATCCACTCTTTTTGCCTGCAACTCTCCCATCCTCTTTTTCTCTCTCACTCACTCTCTACTTACTTACCAGTGCCATTTCGTGCCGTGTCGTGTCACGCGCGCATATCTTATGCGAATAACCAAATGGCATTGTGGCAAACGATTGAGAGAGATGGGTGAGTGAGAGCGCGCGGAAGAGGAGGGGGACTTCAAGCTGACTGTGGGCCCGTTGTCAGTTTTTCATTTGAAATTCCAACCCCCGCTAGGAAAATTGCACAGCCAGTGTCAAGGCAAAGTCCTGGGCGCTGTTTTACTTGTTGGCATTGCAGATTTCAACGCTTTTCATGGCTCAAGCAGCAGGCGGCGGGCGGCGGGCGGCGAACTGGCGAAGTGTGGGCCAGGACACTTGCCGGAAACATATGGCGGCACGCTAAAACCAAAGTCGTCGTTGTCGTCACACACACACACACAAACACAGAAATAGACAGTGGCACATGCATAATGCCAAAGCCACAGCCGCAAATACGTAACAACTGGCACGTGCCCGAGCTCGTGCCATAACCTTCAAGGCAATGACGAAAGTCGGGCGGGGCAGAGCGAGTGAGTGAGTGAGTGAGTGAGCCAGTGAGTGGGCGAGAGAGCGAGCGGGCAAGATGATGAGGACGAAGGCGCGAGCGAGCGAGCGAGGCCGAGGCCGAAGCTTCGCCTTTGTGGGTGCCGTTTCTGCCTGCCTATGTGTGCGTGTGTGTGTGCAGCTACTTGTTGTATTTTATTTGTTTGTCGTACTTTTATTAAAAACGA